ACTGTGAGCATAAGGAGGATAGATAGCATTTACATTTGACTTTGAGATTGGATTCTTCAGAGCAGCTGCCATGAAAGGATTTGATTCCATTGTGTAGCGGTTGTTAAGAAGAAGCTGAGTAGAAACGTTCTCCTTATAAATTTCTCATAGGCTGAAATTGTGCATTTTTTTAAGGAAAGTAGTGAAAAATATAACAACATCTGAGAAGGAAGAAAATAGAAAGAAAAAGGTAAAGGGAAGAAGGGAGGAAGAAAGAGAGGAAGAAAAGAAGGAAAGAAAGAAGAAAGGAGAAAAGAAAGAAACTAAGAAGTCAGAAGAAAAGAAGAAAAAATATCGAATAAAGGAAAGAGTTTTGTAAGAAATTTTATTCTAGTTTTGGAGATAATAATAGCTTAGTAACACAAGTCTTACTAATTAACCCTTGGTTGGGGGAGAAGATGTGGTTTTATACCTTTAACTAGGGTATTCGTGCGTAAGTGAATACAACAAACCCAACTGGAACTGGAACTAGGTTCTCCAATCAACAATTCCGAGGCATTATCCATTACACCACCCGCACATGGTATTTCCAAGAGATCACCCCTTATAGTTAATGAGCATGCTCGCTGTAGCTTAACTTCGGTGATCGTACGGGAACCGAATGAGAGGAACTTCATCCTTAAATTTGGAAGACTGTGAATATGTAGGTGATTCGATTTCGTGGACATACCGGGGCGTGTCCTATTTGTAAAGGTCTGAACTGGTGGTACCAAAGAATGGTCAGCTCTTTTTATCGTCCCAAAAAGTAGCTGACTCCTACTGCCATGCTTAATCTTTCCAAGAGCCTGATTAGACCGAAAGTGGAGGAGTCATGGAAAAAGCGATAAAGTAGGCATACATCTGCTAGGCAGCGTTTTCGCAAAATAGGCTCTAGAGAATAGAATGTCATCCCTTACAAGACTCCGTAAACTATGCTGAAAACTGTTTAGCCTGCAAAATGAGGAAAAGTCTAGACTGGAAAAACGATCCATTGTTAGTCTAATCTTACACTCTAAAAGATAGCAGTAAGTTTTATGTAAGTTTTGGAACGGTACAAGGGGCCGGCCATTTTTCTTATATCATTAGGGATGGATCGTAGATATGTCCCATTCAAAGCAAAGCGATACATTGGTGTCGCAAACTCTCATCCATAATATATATATATATATATATATATATATATATATGTGTGTGTGTGTGTGTGTGTGTGTGTGTGTGTGTGTGTGTGTGTGAAAAGTGTATATAAATATAAATAAATATATATATGTATAATTATTTATATATTATATGCGCGGTACTTATTAGAAAGCGCTCAATATCAGAGATAGAGCTAACATATTTGGTTGGATAGATGTGATTTTGTGACCCTGGGTTTCACCTTTAGCGATCGACAGACGTGAAACCCAGGGTCACAAACTCACATCTATCAACATATATATATATATATATATATATATATATATATATATATATATATTAAAAAGAAGAAAAGAAAACGCAAACGTTTTTGGTTGTAATGTGAATTAAAAAAAATATATGATTTATTTTCCATAATTCTGCTATATGGGTTTCCGGTCTTTCGACCTTCATCAGGCAAAGCGCGGAGATTTCCACATATTATTAAAAGGAATAATTTTGTCTGATGTTTTTCGATGAGGAATATTCTCGATTTTAGGCATTCTCTTTTTTGTGTGTTAGTGACCCAAATGTTTTCTTGAACTGGCAGTGAAAAAGTTCTGCGTGAAGGTAATAAAACAATTAAGACTGGTCGAGAAACAGTAAGAAAGATATATTCTATATATATATATATATATATATATATATATATATATATATATATATTTTCTCACACTTTCTGTATATATAAGTTTCTCTTCTCTTTAAATATGCATACTTGATATACATACTTTTCTCACTTTGGAACTACTACGACCTCTTCCCTATATATATATATATATATATATATATATATATATATATATATATATATATATATATATAATATCGGCCTACCATATATATATTTCTCTCTCTCTATCTCTATATATATATATATATATAGAGAGAGAGAAAGAGAGAGATGTGTTGATGAGAGATATCTTCCTATCCTATGTGTGTTTCCGTCAGCCTGCATATGCATATTCCCTTAAAATAAGGAATCAGCATACACGTATATGTATATATACATACACATATCACATCACCACCTCTCATACCAAGCCTAATGGTTTTATAAACACTTGGGCAGAAATTCACTTTTGCCAAGAGTCCAGAAAAGAGTTCAAGGCTCACTAGCAAATACAGAAAACGAACAATGAGACATTAAAAGAACATAAGGAAAATTTATTCATTTTATAAATTTATTCCTTTTATTTGCCTGAAGAAGGGCACGAGACCAGAAACACGTGTAACAGAAATATGAAGAATAAAATATAATATATATACTAAAACAATATATATATATATATATATATATATATAT